ACTTGTAAAACTAAAGCAGTTAGTACTTTTGACAAGTTTAACACATTTTGACATAATATGGTGTTTCACAACCTCGACAAGTTATGGTTAAAACTAATATAATGTTGGTTTCTAATTGTATAATACAGCTGCTATCAGTATTAAATAAAAATGATTATTTTTTTCAAACYATTTTAATGATAGCAACAATATAAACTATGAAACTAAGACAAAAATACGTTGGACTGGATTAAACAAAGCTAATAATCACMTTAAAATAATTCACAAGTGGTTTTACGTCTTTAGATTATATAGATCCTTCCAGTGTTCATACAAAGTATGTACAGAAGCATCAATAGAAAACAAATTAAACTATCACATGGTAAAGAGGTCAAAAAAGATTACATTGAAGGTCATTGGCTAATCTGTAAAAAAAAAACTTTGTGAAAGAAAAACAAGTTTTAAAACTTTTAAGGTTTACAGATATTCATTGTAAGATTTCATGATCTGCTCACCATAGATGTTCAGCCGTGTTTCTCCTGCTTTTTCGTGGCCATCTGCTGGTGTAACAGCAACTCTGTACACTCCACTGTCATTGAGTTTCAGATTTCTGAGCTCCAGAGATCCAGTTAATATGAACAGGGTGATTCTGCCTTCATACTCTGGGCCTGTTGTGTTTYCACCAGGCRMTGAAGTTATTATAGKCTCAKGWCTGTCACCAAAAKTCCAGCTCACAGCCAGAAATGTTTCTGTTATATCTGTCCTGAACATCACCGTCCCTCCAACAGATGCACTCAGAGGACCATCTGGTAACACACCAGCTCCTTCAGATAAACCTAGAGAAAACAAATGCAAAATGTGAAACTTACTTGGAAGTTTAATAACAGTAACAGATTTTTGACTAAACATTAAAACCTTATCATACAACTGACTCATCGTGTGAGTATCAACATCGATCCATTTATATTCATCAGCCTTTTTAAAATTCAAAAATAACCTGGCAGGATATTGAGCACTATTATTATTTTTTTACATAGACACACACACACACACACACACACACACACACACACACACACA